AAGGCCAGCAGGGACAGGGCTGGGGTAGGGGCTGAAACGCCTGCATGGGGCAAAAGGCCAGCAGGGACAGGGCTGGGGTAGGGGCTGAAACGCCTGCATGGGGCAAAAGGCCAGCAGGGACAGGGCTGGGGTAGGGGCTGAAACGCCTGAACGGCTTTGCTGTCTGTGCCTCCAGCTCTGAGGCTTGGTTTCCTTCTAGAAAACTGTTGGCTGTGCCAGGTGCCAGTTCACCCTTCTCGGGGGGAGAAGCTGAGCCTCCCATCAGGCCCCTGGAGCCTCAAATGTGCTTCCCTACAGCCACTGGGACTGCTCACCACCCGTCACAGCAGGCCCTGAACTGGCCAAGGTCAGTCTCTCTCCCCGACTGACGCTCCCCAAACTCGCACGTGCTAAGCAACAAAGGGAAGTGTGACAGGAGAATGAATGCTACTTTCCGCACGCAGCTGCAACCTCTGGCACCTTTATGGCCTGGAAGTCTGAAATAGTCCAGAGAAATGTGGAAACAGCTACAGCGCTAAAGTGACCTTTGGCTGCAGTGAACAGACGAGACCCGGACGAAGCCGAGGCAGGTGGCAGGTCTGAGCCATGCACCTGACAAGGGAGACTGACAAACTGGACTCTATTCAGAGAAGGGCAGAGAGGACAAACAAAATACCGAAACCATGAAAGCATTGAAGTAATTATAAGAAATAATTGCAGGAGCTGGAGATATTTAGCCCAGAAAGGAGAAACATTAGGATGATTAATTTTCTTCAGAGATTTGATAGACTCCTGAGCAGGAAGGAAAACCAGGTAATGACAGCCAGGCACGATGGCTCATGCCTGTAATCCCAGCAGCTGGGAGGCTAAGGCAGGCAGATCGCCTAAGGTCAGATGTTCGAGACCAGCCTGACCAACATGGTGAAACCCCATCTCTACTAAAAAAATACAAAAACTTAGCCAGGTGTGGTGGTGTGTGGCTATAATCCTAGCTACTCGGGAGGCTGAGGCACGAGAATCACTTGAACCCAGGAGACAGAGGTTGCAGGGAGCCAAGATTGTGCCACTGCACTCCAGCCTGGGCAACAGAGGGAGACTCTGTCAGAAAGAAAGAAATGAGAAAGAAAGAAAGAGAAAGAAAGAAAGGAAGGAGGGAAGGAGAGAGAGAGAAAGAAAGAGACTAAGAAAAGAGAGGGAAGGAAGGAAGGAAAAGAAAAGAAAACTAGGTAATGACAGTGGCCCACACCTGAGTACTTATTCTATGCCAAGCACCATGTCAATTGTTTTACACATTTTTCTCATTTACTCTAAACAGCAGTTCTGTGATAGAAGTGCGTTATCATCCCCATTCCACAGTTGAGGAAAACACAGGAAAGCTGAATGACTTATCCAAGGTCACGTGGTAAATGGTGGAGTCAGGATGTGAACCCAGGCAGTCTCCTCCTGTGCCTGAAACTTGCCTGCCATCCATAGACATGTCCCTTGTGGGGCCCTCAGCAGAATTAGCTGAAAGTTAAAAGAAGGCAGGACTGACGGCAACACGAGGAAGAATCTTTAAGTAACTTGAAGTATGGCCAGGCGCGGTGGCTCACGCCTATAATCCCAGCACTTTGGGAGGCCAAGGCAGGCAGATGATGAGGTCAGGAGATCGAGACCATCCTGGCCAACATGGTGAAACCCCATCTTTACTAAAAATGCAAAAACAAATTACCTGGGCAGGGTGGCACCAGCCTGTATTCCCAGCTACTTGGGAAGCTAAGGCAGGAGAATCGCTTAAACGTGGGAGGTGGAGGTTGTAGTGAGCCGAGATGCCACAGTGCTCTCCAGCCTGGCGACAGAATGAGACTCCATCTCAAACAAACAAACCAGCAAACAACTGGAAGTATTCCACAAGGGATACTGGTTAGACTTTGGGAAGTGGTGAGCTGCAGAAGAGCAGAGCGATTTAAGCCGGGAATGCAAAGGTATTACCCACAACAGTTTGCAAGGACCATTATAGCGGCACTAGCACCAGGGAACGTGTTAGGAATGCGATGTCTAGGACCACCCCCACCCCTGCCCTGAGACCTACTGAATCAGAAGCTCTGCAGCTGGGCCCAGCCATCCGAATTGCTCAGACAAGCCCTCCTGGTAATTCTGATTGACGCTCAAATTTGAGAACCACTGGTATGCAAGTGTCGGCACACTTCCAGGGACTAGGAGACTGCCGCAGTCTCTTCTGCGTCCAAAACCCAAAGCCCCATCATTTTTTTTTTTTTTTTGAGGTGGAGTCGCGCTCTGTCGCCCAGGCTGGAGTGCAGTGGAGTGATCTCAGCTCCGCCTCCCGGGTTCAAGCGATTCCCCTGCCTCGGCCTCCAGAGTGACTGGAACTACAGGTGTGCACCACCACGCTCACTATTGTTTTGTATTTTTAGCAGAGACGGGGTTTCACTGTGTTAGCCAGGCTGGTCTCGATCTCCTGACCTCGTGATCTGACTGCCAAAATTACAGGCGTGAACCACTGCGCCCTGCCAAAACCCCATAGCTCTATAGAAGTAAGATTCCACATCCACCCAGTTTTTCTTTTCTTTTCTTTTCTTTTTTGAGACGGAGTTTTGCTCTTGTTACCCAGGCTGGAGTGCAATGGCATGATCTCGGCTCACCGCAACCTCCGCCTCCTGGGTTCAGGCAATTCTCCTGCCTCAGCCTCCCGCGTAGCTGGGACTACAGGCACGCGCCACCGTGCCCAGCTAATTTTTTGTATTTTTAGTAGAGATGGGGTTTCACCTTGTTGACCAGGATGGTCTCGATCTCTTGACCTCATGATCCACCCGCCTCGGCCTCCCAAAGTGCTGGGTTACAGGCTTGAGCCACCGCGCCCGGCCAAGTTTTTCATTTTTTTAATGTCAAGTGCTTACTATTAGTATCTTGAATACAATCTCTCAGTTGCTAAATTGTGTAACCAGACATTTGAAGGCGCACAGGATACACATTTGGGAGGCCGTGGATGGGCGGGAGCAGCCTAGATTTCAGCTACCTCATTGCTTCACTGACTTCCAAGCCACACATATATGTCCCTGCTCCTTGCCCGTTCCTGCTGTTCCTCTACCCCTGCCTTTTGAAGTCCTGCCTTCTTTCAAAGCTCAATTCAAATGTCTTGCTGTCCACACAGAGCGCCTCACGGTCCGCCCCACAGGGCAGTCTCCTTCTCTTCCTCCCAACCTCCCCTGCTTTCTGGGTTCTCTCTCACTTCCGGGGTACTTAGAGCTCTTGGTGCGTTCCGCTTCATCTCCTGGGGATGCAAGCCTCTCTCAACAGCATGCTCACCTTGACAGCAGGCCCCATTCAGTCATCGTCAACCCCACGGGGCCCGGCACACACAACATTGTGAGGAGTGACCAAAGCAACATGTGCAGAAAACTGTGCACGCAGCCGTTTGCAGGCTGGACAGACACGGCACAGCTGGTGAAAAGGAAGTGCACTGCCATTCAGTTTTGAGCCTGAGGTCTCTGCAGAGCTTTGAGGTTTCCTTGCAATAACCATGTGTGTCTGCAAATACCTAACGGGCCCCAACCCCACTCATCCGCAACACTGGTTACCGTTCACTTCTCTTCATGTTGCTAATAATCACGGGGTATTTTATTTGTTTGTTTGTTTTTTGTTTTTGTGACAGAGTCTTGCTCTGTCGCCAGGTGCCAGGCTGGAGTGAGGTGTCACGATCTCAGCTCACTGCAACCTCCGCCTCCCGGGTTCAAGCAATTCTCCTGCCTCAGCCACCTGAGTAGCTGGGACCACAGGCGTGTGACACCACACCCAGCTAATTTTTGTATTTTTTAGTAGAGACGGGGTTTCACCATGTTGGCCAGGATGGTCTCTATCTCTTGACCTTGTGTTCCGCCTGCCTCAGCCTCCCAAAGTGCTAGGATTACAGGCGTGAGCCACCACGCCTGGCCCATACAAATAATTTTTAAAAGTTATTGGCCAGACGCGGTGGCTCATGCCTGTAATTTCAGCACTTTGGGAGGTCAAGGTGGGCAGATCACTTGCGGTCAGGGGTTCAAGACCAGTCTGGCCAACATGGTAAAACCCTGTCTCTACTAAAGATACAAAAATTAGCTTGGCATGGTGGCGCACGCCTGTACTCCCAGCTACACAGGAGGCTGAGGCAGGAGAATCACTCGAGCCCAGGAAGCAGAGGTTGCAGTGAGCCAAGATCACACCACTGCACTCCAGCGTAATGACAAAGCAAGACTCCATCTAAAAAAAAATGTTATCCAGGTGCAGTGGCGCACACCTGTGGTCCTAGCTGCTTGGGAGGCTGAGCAGGGAGGACTGCTTGAGCCCAGGAGGTTGAGGGTGCAGTGAGCCATGATTGCCCCACTGCACTCCAGCCTTCGTGACAGAGCAAGGCCCTGTGGAAAGAAGAAAGAAAAGAAAAGAAAGAGAAATAAAAGGGAGAAAAAAGAAAAGAGAGAGAGAGAGAAGGAAGGAAGGAAGGGAGGGAGAGGAAGAAAAAAAATGGGCAGGAAGATAAGGTCAGTCATTCATCCTCTCCCCAACACATCGGGACCATTTTGGCTGCCCCCACTCCTTGTCTCCCCCGATCGTGACACCCTCACTCAAGCTCTCTTGACAGCTTCCTGCTCTTCTTCCCTTTCAGCCTGGAGCAGCTGTGTTCTCTGTCCTCCTTCTAATCAAAACCTACTCTCGAGAGAAGACCTAGTACCTTTCTTTATACTTGAGAGGGTATTCTGTCCTTTTATCTTCTATTCTATGATCAGTCACTTCCCTTTTATGAATTAGCAATACAAAAGCTTTGTTCCTCAGGGTAAAGAAAAGAATTTTAAGGGGTGGTTTTCTCTCAGCCCTCTCAGCACCCTAGTCTATTTCTAACAGCAAAAAGACAAAACAAGGAACTGAGAAGGAGAAAGGAAATGGAGGATGAGTTGCAGGAGAGAAAGGAGAAAAAAATCCACAGTGGGGGTGGAGGAAGAACTCTGAGTGCTAACAACCCATCCTGTGGTTTTCAAAGACCACGTATAACAGCCATGAAAGTGTGAGCCATGACGAAACTGGAGAGATGGGGCTTTAACCAGATGCAAGAGCAATCTGAGAGCTGAGAGCTCACTTCAACGTGAGACCCCAGTCTGAGAGCAAGAAAGAACTTCCATCTTGAGGTAAAAAGGCCGTTGGGGACCTGGGGTCCAGGAGGAGGAATGGGACGGTTGACAGGACAGGCTTCTCAACCCTGAGAAACCTGCTTTTTGGAGGGAAATGTCCTCTGCCCTCTGGAACCTGGGGAGAATGAATTTTTTTTTTTTTTTTTTGAGAAGTCTCGCTCTGTTGCCCAGGCTGGAGTGCAGTGGCACGATCTCAGCTCACCGTATCCTCTGCCTCCCAGGTTTAAGCAATTCTCCTGCCTCCGCCTCCTGGAAACTTTTAAAACTAAATTAAACTTTTAATAATCATTGTAATCTCCCAAGCCATCACTGACCGAGGAAAAACAGAGCAAAATAGAAATGGGTGGGAAGCTGGGGGTGGTGGTTCAGGCCTGTAATCCCAGCACTTTGAGAGGCCAAGGCTGGAGGATTGCTTGAGCCCAGGAGTTCAAGACCAGGCAGGGCAGCATAGGGAGACCCAATGCAAATAATTTTTAAAAGTTATCGGCCAGGCAGGTGGCTTACACCTGTAATTCCAGCACTTTGGGAGGTCCAGATGGACGGATCACTTGAGGTGAGGAGTTCGAGAGGTTACTTCTGCCTGCCGGACGAGCACGCTGGTTCCATGGGCATTCAGGGGTCCTGGCCCCATTCTGACACTGCTCAAATAGAGGAACTCTGCTAATTACCAGAGGAAAGTCACCAAAGTTAGATCAAGGTTCTGCCGGAGCCCTTCAAGACCTGGGCTGAGACAAGCCGGGAGGCTCCACAGGGCTGGCAGCCGGCCCTGTGGGGCACATCTGGGGGAAGTTCATGTCCTAGGTGGTGTGCTGTGGGGGTGATGGAAATAACAGAAGCTTCTAGCCACTGGTGTGTTTTGGACAAAGTAAACCTGGAAATTTCAGGATTAAAAAAATGATTTAGAAATCATTTTCCCAAGTTCCATCATTGCACACTTCAGTGGAAAGACCTTTAACCAAAGAACCAGGAGATCTGGTTGCCTCAGTTTCCCTACTTATAAAACGAGGAGGCTGGTCAGCAGGAGTTCTCACTGCAGGTCCATGGACCTCCAAGAAGTTCGTGAACAGATTCATTCATGGGATTTGTGAATTTGGGGAGAAAATATATCTGTATTTTCACTAATCTTATTTTATTTTATTTTTTGAGACAGAGTCTCACTCTGTCGCCAGGCGCCAGGCTGGAGTGCAATGGCACAATCTCAGCTCACTGCAATCTCTGCCTCCTGGGTTCAAAAATTCTCCTGCCTCAGCCTCCTGAGTAGCTGCAACTACAGGCGGGCACCACCATGCCCAGCTAATTTTTGTATTTTTAGTAGAGATGGGGTTTCATGTTGGTCAGGATGGTCTCGATCTCTTGACCTCGTGATCTGCCTGCCTCAGCTTCCCAAAGTGCTGGGATTACAGGTGTGAGCCACCACGCCTGGCTTTTCACTAATCTGTAATTGAAAGTTAGCACTTGTTTCAGTTATGAATGTAGACAAGGAACCACAATAGAATTTGCCATCAGTAGAAAAGACAAATATTTTCAAATCTCATTACAGTTGTTACAGATTTCTCCAAATGTCCTTAACACTCAGCACTACTACAAAATTGTGACAGTTACTAGGCTGATGCCAGATCTAAAGAAGCACCTGTACTGCCCTATCACACATTCTTCTAGGGTTTATTTTTTTTTTCCCCAAAAAGATGGGGTTTCACCATGATGGCCAGGCTGGTCTTGAACTCCTGACCTCAGGTGATCCACCCATCTCGGCCTCCCAAAGTGCTAGCATTGCGCCCGGCCTCTTCTAGGGTTTTGACAACTGTCTTGTTATAATTTGTTTCCTTTGTTAGCCCATGTATCTTATTAATTTTTAAGTGTTATTCTGAGAAGGGGCTCCACGTGCCTTCCCAGACCACCAAAGGGGTCCACGGCGCCTTTACGTCAGGTGCCTACTTGGGTGTGTTGAGCAGGAAGCCTGGGATCTGACATGTGCCTCCAGCGCCCCCCAACCTCTGTTTCCTAACAAGTCTGGTTCTACTCAGGCAGCTGGGGTTGTGGAGATTGAACAAGGAGCCCCTTCACAGCTGCAAATGAGATCTTTCTGGGCATCTTTGTATACAGAGGTATTTGTGGAGCTCAGAGCTGACCTTCCAGCTCCTCTGAGGGGTTAGATCCGGGCTCCGATGGCAGGGGAAGTGGAGTCTCTACTTTGTCATCTTGTCCCCACCCTCCCCAGAAAACCTGTGGCAAGGCTTTCTGTGTCATCCGACCGTCACCACATTTCCACGAGGGAGCTTTAAACACAAGAGGAACGTGAGGCTGGGCGAGGTCCAGGCATGTGCCACAGGTCACACAACGCTGGGATTTGACCCCAGGCGCCCGGGAGACGCCAGGACCCCCACCGAGGCGTCTCTCACCTGAAGGTGCAGGAGGGAGGGGAGCGTTTCCCGCTGTCTGCGAGCGTTCGCCTGGGAGGCCCCGGGCCCCGCGGAATATCAAAGGTGAGGATGCCAACTCCACGGGCACCCTCCTCCCTGCCCGCGCCGGGGCTTGCGACGTTTTAAGAGGGGAGACTCGCCCCTGGCGTGTGTGCCCTGGAAAGTTCACAAACTTCTCACGACCCCCCCACTCCTCGCACTGAGGGCCAGGTGCCGCTCTAGCACATACTGGGTCCCCAGGGCCCAGCAGGCCCAATTTCGCACCCGCTCGTCTCCTCTGCTAGTTTAGCTTTTCCTGGCTAGCCCCGATGCCCGCGGGACGCTCCACGGCGCGAGTGACGAACGCGGGGCGGGCTGGGGTCACCCCGGCTGCGGCTGGAACACAGCGCCCTCTAGCGGGACGCGGGGCGGGCTGGGGTCACCCCGGCTGCGGCTGGAACACAGCGCCCTCTAGCGGGACGCGGGGCGGGCTGGGGTCACCCCGGCTGCGGCTGGAACACAGCGCCCTCTAGCGGCCACGGTGCGGAATCGGTGCTGCCGGCCACCGTCACCCTAGGGTGTCCCCTCCCGGGCACCAAGGTCACTTCCCACAGCATCCCCGTCCCGTGACCCCGCCGGCCCCCAGCGCGGCTGAGGGGTCCACGACGGACTTACACGCTCCTCTTGAACTCGGGCCTCGGCACCGCGAAGCCTGGCCGCTCCAGCGGGCTGACCGCTGCATCCGCGCTCCGAGCCGGGCGCCGCTCCCTCCGTGGAAGCCGGGCCTACCCCACGGCCCTCCCATCCCCGCTGCCCCAGTCCCGTAGGAAACACGCCTAGAGGAGGAACACGACCTTCTCAGCGGTCCACAGCTACCTAGTGCGGAGCCAGGACTGGAACCCCGACCTCAGCCCACTCCCCGCCTTCACGCACCACCGGGTTAGAGGCACCAGCTCCCCATGGCCCACTAACTTCTGTGAAGACCTAACTCGTCGCTGTCCTGCAGCCTTTCCGCATCCTTCATGCAGAATTTCCCCTTTCCTGCTTCTGCCACTTTATGACCTTCTTACCGTTCTTCGTACGGTCGTTCTTGTGTCGCAGCTGATCGTGAATGGATGAGAGGCTGTGAGGAGAGGGCCAAGGGGGACCCCAGGAGAAAGACTCCTAAGTTGGGTTAGAATTCTGCTCCCCAAATTAGGAGCTGTGCCACAAGGCCTCTCCAAGCCTCTATATGCTTCGTACAAATAATACATTTTTAAAAATAATAATGGCTTAGTGTTTAATAAGGACTAAACACCGTCTCCTGCATGTGGATGTCCCTGGAACACTGTCCGTGGATTCCAGTATAAGAAAGCATAAAAACAATCATAGCTAGCCGGGCGCGGCGGCTCACACCTGTGATCCCAGCAGTTTGGGAGGCCGAGGCGGGTGGATCACGAGGTCAAGAGATCGAGACCATCCTGGCCAACATGGTGAAACCCCGTCTCTACTAAAAATAGTAGCCGGGCGTTTGGCACGTGCCTGTGGTCCCAGCTACTCGGGAGGCTGAGGCGGAAGAATCCCTTGAGCCCGGGTGTGGCCGGGGGGGCGGAGGTTGCAGTGAGCCGAGACTGCGCCACTGCGCGGCGCCTGGCGACAGAGCAAGACTCTGTCTCAAAAAACACAATCATAGCCAGCGTTTATTGAGCCCTTATTCCCAGCCAGGCACTACGGTAAGTAGTTTACATAGGTTAATTTGGCCCTCACAACCCTAGAAGGCAATATTTTGTCACCATTGTACAGGTACACTCCTTTTCAGAGACGTTAAGAAACGCGCCCAGTATTACACAGATAGTAAGTGTTAAAGCCAGATCTCAAACAGGCAGGTCTGACGCTAGACACGATTAAAGCACCACAACATCTGCCTCTGCTGTGCCAGTGAGCTCTCCGTGCCTCGCGGTGCCTGACACATTACACATGCTCCGTGTTTGTAAAATAGGACTATTTATTAAGGGCTGAGCATACTGCCTGGCCCAGAAACCTAAGGAACTTGACCTTGTCATGCAACTATTAAGTTTTAGGACCAGGATTTGAACACACTCTGGCTCTAGACTCTGCTTTTTAACCACAATCCTGGACTGAATGAATCTTCCTCTTTGAATCAAATGATGCTTTGTCACTCAATATTCCATGTTTCATTTCAAGAGTCACCAGGACATTCCGGTGTAGCATGAAGTTATAACGCGAGAGAGGGGTCAAGAAGAGGTCAAGGCTAGGAAAGGACATTGGGGCCGCACCATGGGCTGCTGCGGCTGTTTTGTTGGTACGGTGACAAATGCATAGGTAAGTACAGACAGAATTAACAATCGTCTTTACGTAGGTTTTCAGTCACGTTCTTTAGCGGTACTTTCTAGTTTTTATCCTATGGGTCCTATTTGGAATCGTGTTACATTTTTCTGGACATTTTACGGGTTTTTTTGGTTGCTACAATGAATGGGACTTTTTCCTATTAGCATATTTTCTGACTCATAATTATATTTAGGAAAATTAATATCTTATGTATTCATAAGTACCTTATTAAATTATATTTATTTATATACATTATTTTAGTTTATTATTTTATACAAATTATAATTACAGAACATTCTATTCTGTGGATATGCAATAATTTATTCAGCCATTCTTCTACCAATGGGGTCTTCACCTGTTTCTTTTTTGTGTGGGAGCGGGAGGGGGACAAAGCTTTGCTCTGCTGCCCAGGCTGGAGTGCAGTGGTATGATCTTGGCTCACTGCAATCTCCACCTCCCAGGTTCAAGCAATTCTCTTGCCTCAGCTTCCTGAGTAGCTGGAATTATAGGCATCTGCCACTAAGCCCGGCTAATGTTTGTATTTATTTTTAATAGAGCCAGGGTTTCATCATGTTGGCTAGCTGGTCTCAAACTCCTGACCTCAGCTGATCTGAGCACCTCAGCCTCCCAAAGTGCTGAAATTACAGGTGTGAGCCACCACACCTGGTCTTCACCTGTTTCTAATTTTTTGGTATTATCAACAATGCTGCAGTGAATATTCTTGTACATATATACTAGCACACTCATGCTTTTATTTCTGTAAGCTATAGCCAAAGGGACAGGGTATGCTCATTTTAAAGGTTAATATATAATGAGTATTCCCCCAAAGCGCCGTAACAACGTATAGTTCTACCTAGAGCGAATGATTTACCCCATTCCTCCTTACCCTTACCAAAATTGAATTTATCAACTTTTAAATTTTTGTTCACTTAACAGGTGGTAATTCTGAAATTCTGAACTCTGAATTTTTAATTTGTACTTCCCTGAAAACTTGTAAGACTGAAAAACTTTTTATTCCATTTCCTCTTTTGTGAGCTGCCTATTCAGATACTCTATCTTTTACTGTTTCTAATAATTCTTAATTAAGTTTCTTGGGTTTTCCAGATGTAAGTTATATCACATAAAAATAGTAATAATTTTGCCTTAAGATTTCCAATATGGATACCCTTTGCTTTATTTTCTTGTTTAAATGTAATGTCAGACACTTCCAGAACAATGTAAAATAACAGAAATAATAGGAAGCATCTTTGCCTTGTTCCTAATATTAATAGAAATTATCCTATATTTGACCATTAAATGTGATGCTGAAATTTTATCTAAGATATACATTTCACCACTATATTGACTAGTATTCATCCATTACCACCTCACTTAGGATTTCAGTGGGAATTAATGTAAGATTTTATCAGAAGGTAATATTGACTTTCTTTTTTGATCCAGTAGTATGTTATTAATAGAATCCTAATATTAAATTATCCAAGAATTTCTAAAAATGAAACCTCATTCCATTTGTCATGGTGCATTACATATATATATATATAATAATTATTGTTTTTTTTGAGACGCAGTTTCGCTCGTTACCCAAGCTGGAGTGCAATGGCATGATCTCGGCTCACCGCAACCTCCGCCTCCTGGGTTCAGCCAATTCTCCTGCCTCAGCCTCCTGAGTAGCTGGACTACAGGCACGCGCCACCATGCCTCAGCTTCCTGAGTAGCTGGAATTATAGGCATATTTTTTTTTGTATTTTTAGTAGAGACGGGGTTTCACCTTGTTGACCAGGATGGTCTCGATCTCTTGACCTCGTGATCCACCCACCTTGGCCTCCCAAAGTGCTGGGATTACAGGCTTGAGCCACCGCACCTGGCCGGTGCATTATATTTTTAATATCTTGCTGGATTGGTTAGTTGATTTTTGTATGTGTGTAATTTTTGTTTGTTTGTTTTTTTGAGACAGACAGGTTCTCAGTGTCAACCAGGCAGAGTGCAGTGGAGGTCATACCTCTCTGCAGCCTTGAACTCCTGGGCTTCTCCGACCTAAACCTCTTTAGTAGCTGGGACTACAGGTATGCACAATACACCTGGCTAATTTTTTTAGCTGTATTTTTGGTAGAGACAGGGTCTCACTTCATTGCCCAGACTGGTCTCAAACTCCTGGGCTCAAGTGATCCTCCCACCTAGGCCTCCCAAAGTGCTGGGATTACAGGCGTGAGCTGCTGCACCTGGGCCTTTCAATTTTTTTAAAGTTTAAATAAAATACTATGAAACAGCATACAGCAGCATGTGAAAGGAATAACATACTATGACCAAATGGTTTCTGTTTTTGTTTGTTTAGAACTGCAAAGATGTATCAATTTTAGGAAATCTATTACTGTAGATAACCATCTTTATAAATCTATAAAGAAAAATAATATGATTATTTCAGTTGATCGTTAAAGGCAACTAATAAGACATTCACATCCATCCCTGACATTTTAAAACTTTCTTTCTTTTTTGACACGGAGTTTCCCTCTTGTTGCCCAGGCTGGAGTGTAGTGGCTTGATCTCGGCTCACTGCTACCTCCACCTCTCGAGTTCAAGTGATTCTCCTGCCTCAGCCTCCCGAGTAGCTGGGACTACAGGCATGTGCCACCATGCCCAGCTAATTTTGTTATTTTTAGTAGAGACAGAGTTTCTTCATGTTGGTCAAGCTGGTCTCGAACTCCTGACCTCAGGTGATCTGCCCACCTCGGCCTCCCAAAGTGCTGGGATTACAGGCATAAGCCACCATGCCCAGCCTAAAACTCTTAATAAAATAGAAATAAATATATATTCCTTAACATAATAAAATACATCTCATTCTCAAAACTATAATACTTAATAAGGAAATATTTAAGCATCCCCCATTAAACTTAGAAAAAACACAGAGATCCATTATTACCATTATTATTTAATATTTTTCTGGAGATATTAACCAATACAATTAGAAGAAAGAAATTAGAGGTATAAAATAGAAAAGGAAGTAATTGTTATTTACACATAATGTGATTGCCTGACTGGAAAATCCAAGAGAATAACTGAAAATCAATAAAATGAAGGGAGGGTAGCTGGATATGATATTAATATGTGGTTAAAAAAATAGCCTTTCATATACGAACGACAAAGAAAAATGAAAAGATAGACTGAAAAAACAAGTTAAAAAACACAACGGGTAAAAGATGACACTTTCAGTAGTGACAAAGAATATGAATTACTCAAGAAACGAACTCAGCTAAGAAATGGACCAAGACTTTATGAAGAAAACTTCTATACACATCTGAGATGTACATATTTGAAAAATGAGTATCACATTCTCAGATCAAAGGAATCAGTGTCACAAAAAAATTCATTTCTCCCTAAGTTAAAACACAAATTGAACATATCCCAATAAATAAAATACCAATAGGACTTTTCTTGGTGGTACATGGTAGGAAGGGAGAGACGAGACAAGCTGATTATAAAAATCAGAAAAATACATTTATAGAAAACTTCTTGTTTTCCCCTTTTGAATTTTGAACTCTGTGAATGTAATTACCTATTTAAAAGTTATAAACTATAAAACTTCAAATATATTTTAAAAATATATACAGAGAGAGGATTTTTAAAAAAATATATTTATTTTATATACGTAATTGCAAGTTGCCCTTTTTGACCTAATGCTGTATCATGAACAGATGTTCAGGCCCATATTTATAGAAGTATCTCATTCTTCTAACAATATCTAATATTTTATTGTATAGATTAATTGAAACTTATTAAACCATTTCCCTACTGATGAAATTCAGGTCTTTGTTTTTGTTCAGTTTGTTTATTTTGAAACAGGGGTAATTTTTCTTAGCCAGGATTAGAAGGTATAATTATAAAAAGTAAAACAAAAAAAATACTGAATGAAAAGTATAGCCTCAATCGGAGGGAAACTTTTCCTAAACAACGCAGGAAGCCCAGACAACTTAGAGGAAAAGATAGATACGTTGACTTTAATCACATACGATGTAAATTATCCTTGTGGAAAAAAAAGTGTCATAAACGAAGTGAAGAGATAAAGAACAAATTGGGAGGAAGTATTTGCCTAAAAATGGCAGCTGGGTTAATATCTCTAATATAGAGAAAGTTCCTGAAAGTTGAGTTTTTAAGAACTATAAACACACAAATCATAGACAAGGGAATACCAGTGGCCAAGAAGCCTATGAAAAGATCAACCTCACTAATCATGGAAATGCAAAATAAAACAGATCTCTAACAGAACATCTGATTCTCAACAGCCTTTTTGGAGAGCAATCTGATATAGTAGAAAAAAAGTATTAATGTGTATAGTCTTTGACCCAGCAATCTAATTTAACTTTAAAAAAAAAATGTGAGAAAATAGGCTTTGGTGTCTCCCCACATCTCTCCCTTCTCCCCACCCCCACCCTAGTATATTTCACGTGGTTTACCACCTCACTTCCCAGCCAGCTGAACATTCATGCCCAGACCCTCCTCTACCTCCATCATACTCTAGCCAATCAAAGCTGGTGCCTGGGCTGGGGAGATAGTCTTGGAGCCCTGGAAAGCTTCGTCTAGTGGGTCCCCTTGTGCTTTCAGGAGACTGAAGCCAAGAATACCAGCAGAGCCAACATTTGCTTCAAGTTCCTGGGCCTGCTGACAGCGTGCAGGATGCTGATGGAACCTGGCAGAGGCTGCTGTGCCCTGGCCATCCTGCTGGCAGTTCTGGGCATCCAGTCTGGTGGTAAGGATAGGCCCTAGAGCAGAGACAGCCGTGGCGAGGACCCTGGGCTTGTGGGAAGGGTTGGATCCCGTGATTTTCTCTGGTGCAGAAGCAAAGGACTCACTCTTCTTCTTTTTTTTTTGTGGGGGTGGGGAGAAAGACTCGCTCTGTCACCCAGGCTGGAGTGCAGTGGTGTGATTTCAGTTCACTGCAACCTCCACCTCCCAGGCTCAAACAATTCCCCTGTCTCAGCCTCCCGAGTAGCCAGGACTACAGGCGCATGCCACCATGCCTGGCTAATTTTTGTATTTTTAGAGAAGGGGTTTCACCATATAGGTCAGGCTGGTCTCGAACTCCTGACCTCAGGTGATCCTCAGGCACCCGGCCAACTCACTCTTCTAGACGTTAAGTAAGAGTAAAAAATATGGCATCTTTTTTTTTGTTGTTAGAACTGATACTACTGCCTCTCTACCATTCTGCCTCTGCTATCTGTGTCAAGGACCCTGGTAATCTGTGCCTCAACCTAAGATTCCTTTAGGCTCTTATATGTATGTATGTATGTATGTGTATATATATATATGTATATATATATATTTTTTTTTTGAGACGGAGTTTTGCTCTTGTTACCCAGGCTGGAGTGCAATGGCGCGATCTCGGCTCACCGCAACCTCCGCCTCCTGGGTTCAGGCAATTCTCCTGCCTCAGCCTCCTGAGTAGCTGGGATTACAGGCACGTGCCACCATGCCCAGCTAATTTTTTGTATTTTTAGTAGAGACGGGGTTTCACCATGTTGACCAGGATGGTCTCGATCTCTTGACCTCGTGATCCACCCGTCTCGGCCTCCCAAAGTGCTGGGATTACAGGTGTGAGCTACCGCGCCCGGCCACCAAGGGGAGTCTTACAAAGCAAGTCATAGGGGATCACGCTGCCAAGGGAGTAGGCGAGGGGGCTGGCAGCCTCAGCGTCTGCCTGATGGGTTTTTAGCAGAGAGCTTTATTAACCAAGGCTGGGGTTTTGCAAGGATTCGTCATAGTGGGAGTAAAGCTAAGGGAGCTGAGGGAGGGTGTAAGGGGGAGATTATAGCAATGGACTGACCACGAAACATAAGCTAGAGAAGGCAGTGAAGTTTGAGAATGAGGGACGGCACAAAGGCGGCAGGGCCAATGCACTGGAGAATCAGGTCAGACACGGCCCCTGAGCCAGGACAGTATCCTCGGTCAGCCCAACCCTTTTCTCCACTTCTGTACCCAGGTCATAGATTACTTGCAGGGAACATAATCAAGTCTGCAGATTGGCACCATCAGTCATGGTCTTTGGATACCAGTGGTCCCTCGATAATTAGTCTGTTCCTCCAGTCCATTCTCCATTTCCACAGTGGGTGTTTTTTGTTTTTATTTTTGTTTTTGAGACAGCGTTTCCCTCTTATTGCCCAGGCTGGAGTGCAATGTTGAGACCTCGGCTCACTGCAACCTCCACTTCCAGAGTTCAAATGATTCTTCTGCCTCAGCCTCCCAAGTAGCTGGGATTACAGGCATGGGCCACCACACCCGGCTAATCTTGTATTTTTAGTAGAGACAGCGTTTTGCCGTATTGGTGAGGCTGGTCTCGAACTCCCAATCTCAGGTGATCTGCCCGCCTTGGCCTCCCAAAGTGCTGGGATTATAGCCATGAGTCACCGGGCCCCACCTTGTTTTTAATCAACTCTGGTATTTCTGTGGCCTCATGCTGTGTATTTCTTAGAAAAACTTTTACTCATCCTTCAAGTCTCAACTCTAGCACTAACTTCACTGTGAAGTTTCCTTGATTCGTCAGACAGAGGAATCTCTTAGATTCCTCAGTAATAATAACTGTGGAATTAAACTGCAATTTTTTGCTAATCTGTTTTTTCTTTTTTTTTTGAGACGATGTCACGTCACACTCTCTTGCCCAGGCTGGAGTGCAGTGGCACGATCTTGGCTCACTGCAACCTCCGCCTCCCGGGTTCAAGCAATTCTCCTGCCTCACTCAGCCTCCTGAGTAGCTAGACTACAGGTGCACGCTGCTATGCCCAACCAAATTTTCTGTCTGTATTTTAGTAGAGACAGGGTTTCACCGTGTTGCCTAGACTGGTCATGAACTCCTGCCTGTCTCAGCCTCCCAAAGTGCTGGGATCACAGGTGTGAGCCACCGCACCCACTGGGTGCTGCTAATCTTTTTCTAGACTTTAAACTGAGAGTGGCTAGGCACGGTGGCTCATGCCTGTAATCCCAGCACTTTGGGAGGCAGAGGCAGGAGGGTCGCTTGATGCCTGAAATTCAAGACCAGCCTGGACAACACAGTGAGAACCTGTCTCTGCAAAATAATAAAAAACTAGGCAGGCATAGTGGTGCATACCTGTAGTGTTAGCTATTCAAGAGGCAGAGGTGAGAGGACTGCTTGAGCCCAGGAGTTCAGGGTACAGTGAGTCACAGTTGTGTCACTTGAGCCCAGGAGTTCAGGGTACAGTGAGTCACAATTGTGCCACTGCACTCCAGCCTGGGTGACAGAGCAAGTCTTTTTTTTTTTTTTAAAGACGGGGTTTCACCATGTTGGTCAGGCTGGTCTTGAACTCCTGACCTCAGGTGATCCGCCCGCCTTGGCCTCTAAAGTGCTTGGATTACAAGCGTGAGCCACCAGCCCGGCCGACTTTCTCTTAAAAAAAAAAAATTCTCAGTCATCTAGTGGTTAGGGAGAAAATAAAGGTCTGACAGTGGGGCTCATGTCCTCGTCATCACAGCCCCACCAGGTTTGGCAGAGTGAATGCCTAAATGTACTTGTTCAGTGGAGGAACAAATAAACCTGTGAATGAATGGACACTTTGAGCTTATTATTTAGACCCTTAATTTTCATTTTCCAGATGAATAAACTACTGCCCAAGGAGTTAGGTAACTTGTTACAGTCACACGGCCATCGACAGAGCCGTCATGTGTATTTCCTGTCTGCCAGCACTGCTGCCAGCTTCTGCTCCAGTCCTTCCTTGAAGATTTCCAGCGATAAGGAGCAGTTATGGTGAAACTCAGAGAACGCGCCCTGACCTCTGGGTAATTCTTCCCTTTCCATTCCAGGGGGCATGAACATCACCAGCTCAGCCTCCCGGGAGGGAACGAGACTACACTTAATCTGTACTGTGTGGCATGAGAAAGAAGAGGCTGAGGGGCTTATAGTGTTTCTGTGCAAGGACAGGTCTGGAAACTGTTCTCCCGAGACCAGTCTGAAACAGCTGAGACCTAAAAGGGATCCCGGGATAGATGGTGCTGGTGAAGTATCATCCCAGCTGGTGTTCACCATAAGCCAGGTCACACCATCGGACAGTGGGACCTACCAGTGTTGTGCCAGAAACCAGAAGTCAGACATCCGCCTTCAGGGCCATTTTCTCTCCATTCTAGTCACAGGTGAGTCTCCAGTCCTCCTAATGCCACCAGGCGGGGCAGTGACCAGGGCTGACAGCTGGAGACAGAACCACATGGTTCAGGCCCTGGGGGCAGTTTCCTTCTTCCTCAATGCTTTCCGTCCCTCCCATCGGCAGATGCTGCCTTCCTTCAAAGTCCACATACAAACATCATCGCATTTTGCCTTTAATTTTAAAACTCTTACTGGGGTGGCCGTTGCATTTTTATTGACAGGGAGATGGAGTCACAGGGGTTGAAGAGGCTTGTCCAGTGCTGTAAAAGCAGATAGAAATTAGGCCTCCTGATTCCCAATTCGGAGGTCTCCCAGAAATGTGGCTGTTATTTCTAAATTCAGGCCAACAAAGAGCTCAGGTGTGAGATAAAATGGGTATCTGTCTTAAGGAGTGGTTAGTTGGAAGAAACAGAAACCCATTCAAAGTACCATAAATTATAGGAGGAAAAAACAAAGCAAAAAGTACAGCTGGCCCTCATGAGTTCCAGTTCCTGGAATCAGAAACCAGAAACGGGACAGGACCTAAAACGGTTACTGTCGCGCTCTGAGGCAGCGAGGCCTCCAGCTTCTGCCGCTGTTTGGCCCTGTGTCCGCTCCCTGCTCATTACTACTTTGGTGTATCCTAAATATGGCCGCTCCAGCCCCAGCTTTCTATAACTTCCTTCAGTCAAATTCTGCCCTACAGAGAGCATCCCTGCGTTCCTATATTCCCAGACAATAGAGCAAGCTTTCAAAATACCGTGGGGGAAAAAAAAAACTTTACCTAAAATTATATATTCAGCCCAACTATAAACCAAATGTGAGGAAAGAGAAAAGACACTATCTGAGAATTATAAGCTTTATCAGAAAAAAGAAAAGGAAAAAAGACACTCACAAGACGCTATGAGTAAAAAAAAAATTGCCTTCCATGTGACTTTTTTTTTTAGATGGAGTCTCGGTGTGTTGCCAAGCTGGAGTGCGGTAGCACGATGTCAGCTCACTGCAATTTCTGCCTCCCGGGTTCAAGCAATTCCTCTGCTTCAGCCTCCCATGTAGCTGGGACTACAGTTGCGCCCCACCACTCCCAGCTAATTTTTTGTATTTTAGTAAAGACGAGGTTTCACCATATTGGCCAGGATGGGTGGATCACGAGGTCAGGATTCCAGGCACCTGCCACCATGTCCGGCTAATTTTTATATTTTTAGTAGAGACGGGGTTTCACCATGTTAGTCAGGCTGGTCTTGAACTCCTGGCCTCGTGATCCACCCACCCGGGCCTCCCAAAGTGCTGGGATTACAGGCATGAGCCACTGCACCCGGCCCCAAGAGATCTTTTCAAAGAAGCTACCAGAGGATGTGCTTCACTAAAACAAGAAGTGAATCCATAAAGGGGTAAAAGGAGATGCAGGAAACAAGGAATCTAACAGGGAAAAGGAAATTCTAGGCTGGACACGGTGGCTCACACCTGTAATCTCAGCACTTTTGGAGGCCAAGGTGGGAGGATCACTTGAGCCCAGGAGTTAAGAGACAAGCCTTGGTAACATAGGAAGGACAACCCCATCTCTAGTGGAAAAAGAAAAAAAAAAAAAAACCAGGAAGTTCTAACATTAAAAAAGGGCAGTGAGTCCAGAAGAGAACAAGGGAAAGAGGACTCTGGAAGGCAGATCTCTAGGAGGTAAAAGTGGAATTGACAGATCATCTTTCTAAAGGCCCACTAAAGACCTGATAAAAGGATTCAATAAGGGATATGGAAAACTCTCCTAGTAAAAAATAAATAAAATCAATTCAGGTGGTCATTACCTCTAGAGAAAATGGAATTTTACAAAAGAAACATAGCACCCAACTTGATTCTGCAAAAAATAACAGAATCCAAACTATGTGAACATGACTAATCTAAATAAATTGGTGATATAATTATTTTTGGAAGAATGCAGAGAAGGAAAACAGGTGAAAGTGTAAGAGACCACACCCTCATCTACTGTAGCGAAAGCCCCTAGGAAGCAGCCGTGTGAGCGTATTATTCAGGAATATGCTAAGACATCTCGAAGAGTCGGCAGTGGCTGTCTCAGACAATAAGCCTAGGAGGATATAACAGTACTGCTATTATTCCCTATGAACTCACAAGTATTTTACTTTTTTTTTTTTTTTTTTTTTTTTGAGAAAGAATCTCATTCTGTCGCCCAGGCTGGAGTGCAGTGGTGTGATCCCAGGTCACTGCAACCTCCGCCCCTGAGGCTCAAGCGATTCTCCCGCCTCAGCCTCCCGAATAGCTGGGATTACATGCACGCACCACCACCTGCAGCTAATTTTTTTGTATTTTTAGTAGAGATGGAGTTTTGCCATGTTGGCCAGGCTGGTCTTGAACTCCTGACCTCGGGTGATCCATCCGCCTCAGCCTCCCAAACCGCCCGGCCTATCTTACCTTTTTTTTTTTTGAGACGGAGTCTTGCTGTCACCAGGCTGGAGTGACTGTGCTCCCTGGTTCTCTACCTGCTTGGATGTTCTTTTGCCTTCTCTACTTCCTCCTTCCCACCTCTCAGTATTTCCCAACACTCACTCCTCGCCCCTTCAACCTTTTCTCTTTACTCTCTTCCAAGTTCTCATCTACCCATGATTTAAACCAGCATCTCTCTGCAATTGACTAGCAAATCAATTTCTCCAGCTCGAACCTCTTCCGTTAAGTTTTAATTGAATGTTTAAACTAACTGTACGCTTAGCTCCTGGAGGCCCTATCATCTCCTCAAACTCAGTATCAAACCTATTTTCCTGTGTGTGATCCTGTCTCTGTTCATGACTCAGAGTAAACTTTGGTTCCTCCTGTTTTCTTAACCCCCAGTTCAGAGAGTTACTAAGCACTGCTCTTGTTCCCCACGGCAGTACTTACTGGGAGAAACAGCAGTACTTTGTTACTCCTTTCCTTCCAAAGGTGGTTTTCAGGTCTTCATCACCCCACATCTAACATATTCCAGTAGTCTCCTAACGAGTGAGTCCCTTGAGTTCAGCAGCTGTGCCCTATTCATCCTTCCATCGCCTGGCTCTGAATGTTCCCTAAGAATGGTCCAGCAACTCTCAATCCATTCTACATACTGCCACTGGCTTGTCCTTCTAAAATGCTAATTTGGACATGCCATACCACTCAGAGTTTTAATGGCGTCTCACTGTCTATGGGATAAAGTCTAAATTCCTTTAGCCTGGCACTAGAGACTCCATAAAATCTCATTCTCTTTATGTGAATCCATTGCTTCAGTTAAACTGCACTGGTGGATACTCCTCTTTCATTCATCTAACAAGTATGTATTATGCATCCCAGGCCCAGCGCTAAGCCTGGAGCAAGACTGAGGTACAACAGTCCATGCTCCTTATAACCTGAAATCCCTGTTCTCCTAATGTATTTTCTAGTTGTGAAGATTGTCCCTAAGAGAGAATGCTTTCCTCGTCTTCTCAGCATATTTACGTATTAAAGTCAGCACATCTAGATGATTCCCCAAATAGGGAAATTAGGTGCATTTTGGAAGGTAAAACTAGTTAAGAAGAGACAGGTGGCCAGGTGTGGTGGCTCAGGCCTGTAATCCCAGCATTTTGGGAGCCCGAGATGGGCAGATCACAAGGTAAGAAGATCGAGACCAGCCTGGCCAACATGGTAAAACCCCATCTCTGCTAAAAATACAAAAATTAGTCAAGCATGGTGGCATGCGTCTGTGATCTCAGCTCTCTGGGAGGCTGAGGCAAGAGAATCACTTGAAACCGGGTGGCAATGGTTGCAGTGAGCCGAGATTGTGCCACTGCACCCACACTCCAGCCTGGGCGATAGAGTTACACTCTATCTCAAAAAAAAAGGAGACAGGTAACAAATAATATTAATAAACAATGTTGGCTGGGTGTGGTGGTTCACACCTGGAATCCCAGCACTTTGGGAAGACAAGGTGGGCAGATCACTTGAGATCAGGAGTTCGAGACCAGCCTGGCCAATATGGTGAAACCCAGTTTCTACTAAAACACAAAAATTAGTTGGGTGTGGTGGCACATGCCTGTAATCCCAGCTACTCGGGAGGCTGAGGCACCCAGCCTGGGCGAAAGCGCCAGAGTCTGTCAAACAAACAAACAAATAGAGCCAGACTCTGTCAAATAAATAAAATGAAAATTTCTGCCATTTACTGAGTGCTTACTGTGGGCCAGGCATTGTGCTAAGTGATATTATGTTACTTAATCTCCATGGTCTTTTGAGCTACTGTTCTATGATGACTCCAGCCTGAGGATAATTTATGTTCATCCAACTAGTAAATGCTGGATAAAAATCCAATCTAGGCTGGGTGTGGTGTCTCATGCCTGCAACTCCAGCGCTTTGGGAGGCCAAGGCAGGTGCATCACTTGAGCCCAGGAGTTCAAGACCAGCCTGGCCAACACACTGAAAATATCTCTACAAAAAAAAAATACAAAAATTAGCTGGGCGTGGTGGCGCATGCCTGTAGTCCCAGCTACTAGGAAGGCCGAGGTGGGAGGATCGATTGAGCCCAGGGGGTGGAGTTACAGTGAGCTATGATCACAACTCTGTACTCTAGCCTGGATGACACGGCAAGGCCCTGTCTCAAAAAACAAAAAAACCCACATCTACTCCAAAGAGCAAGATTTTAACTTAGGCTAAATTGCTTGACGCACTCCAGAAAATGGGGGTATTTGGGGTTACCCAAGTCCAAGGTGACTAAGCTGTTTCAGCTATCTCTGTGGCAAAACTTTAGAGTTACTTTAAGGTCTGTTTGCATCCCCGGCATCTAACACACAGGAGATTCTATTCTTATTTATGGCTGCTTAAGGACATCATCATTCCCCACAATGTGAAAAATACTTATTTGGGTAATGAATTATGGCGGGAGGTAGCCTTGGAGATCATAGCAATGTCAGAGGTGATGTAAAGGGAGGTACTGATGATTTCTGAACCCTCCCCTGACCCACGATTCTCTTTTGAACCAGACACAGGGAACTACACAGTGACGGGATCCAAACAACGGCACCACCTTGAGTTTGGCCATAGCGAAGGCACTCTCAGTTCAGGCTTCCTACAAGAAAAGGTCTGGGCGATGCTGGTCACCAGCCTGGTGGCCCTTCAAGGTATGTCCAGAAGAGCCATAAGCACCCCAAGCTGTAAATCTACTGTTAGATTTCTGCCACCATTGTTATTCTCCAGGAGGAGAAGGTTGGAAAGGAAGTCCAGAGGGAGAGAAAAATGTTTCTCAAGCCCTGGCTATCCACAGGAAGTTCCAACCAGTTTCCCTGATCCAAAGGCACTAAAGACTTCATGTATCTAGAGGAAGACAAATGAATCTGATTTTTCAGTGGGGAGGAGGTCAGACTCGTTAGGAAAGGCCTGTGAGAGAGGCAAGTTAGTAGAGCTGCCTCTACTCACTGCATGAACAGAGGGCTACAAGTCGAAGCAACAGGTTTTTGGCTATTACAGGAAGAACAAGGCACGCGATACTTGGTTTGGAGGTGGGTTCTGAACAATGCGGCTCCTCAGCAAAGGCTGATGGCCAGACTGAGTATTTTTTAACACATGCAGCTGAGTCCTCTGAGCACCATTTATCCATATGGATTACCGTTTTCCCTATAACAAAAAGTGAAACTTCCAATAATTTGTCATTATGTTTTTGTTTAACAAGCAACTGATACAGGTTTTTGCCTGTCCTTGGCATTCTTAACTCCATTTTATTTAGATTTTCCTCAAATCAATAACTATCACTGTTTTCAGTGGCATCAGAATATAAGCTCTATAGTCCCAGCTACTCAGGAGGCTAAGGCAGGAGAATCACCTGAGCCCAGGTTGGTTGAGGTTGAGTGAGCCACGATCATGCCACTGTGAGACCCTTTCTCAAAAAAACATTCTATGTTGCCCTTCACAGCAATTAATCCAGATCCTTCTCACTCTAAAACCTTACACTCAGTAATGACCTACTATGTGCAAAGAACCTCTTACCTCCACCACCTCCCTCATTCTGAGATTGCCTCCCCCCCTTTCCAGAAACAGGACCCCCAAAACATTCCCGACTCCAGTCCCGTATTTGCAAGTCATCAAAAGAAAACAGAGATTTCAAAAAGAAAACAGAGACCTTATCTGTAATCCTTGGTGAGGATCTTCCAAGTTTAAGCGTATGCCAGTTTTCAGGAGGAAACACGAATAACAGTCTGACCCTTTAGACACAATTTTTTTACTGACTAACTGAGTAACTAACTAGCCTAACTTCCCTTGGTTAGGCTACTGTAACCAATGAAATACATTTTATTTTAGAATAAAAATTCTAAAGGGGAAATTGAGAGTAGTCATACAACCTACTACCAGTTACTATCTTTGATTCCCAAGTCATCCTAGAGGAAAAAAAAAAAAAATTAAAAAAAATGACTGTGCTTTTCCCCCTTTTCCACTCAGGTGAAGAGAATGAACTTTTGAATCCAATCTTTTGTTTTCTCCGGTCTTCAAGTAGCTTTAAAGTTAACACAAGGAAAAAACTAAAGCTCAACATTTGATTAAACAAGAAAATATACACTACTTACAAGCTTTGTTTACCCTTCTCCCCCAGCTCAAGGCTTGGCAGAATTATGGAAAGAGGTATTATTCAGAATAGTACACACGCTTTCTCAGGTCTAGAAACATCACACAGATCGTTATCATGTTTACACATGGGGAAAAGGAGGGAGTTTCCCTGGATCTCTGTGCCCCTCTCAGCTCATGAAGCTAATTTCAGTGAATATCCTTGTCTTATCACTGTGCCAATTCAGAGTTACGAGTGGAAAACCTACCTTCAACTTTTTGAGTGGCATCTATTGCTTCGATCCAAGGCTAGCCCCTCCCCCCTCCCACCAGAACGAGATTTGCTCAGGATCACAGCCCTAACTTTAGTAATAAGACACAACACATAAAATGGTTCCTACTTTCTTTTCCAGTCCCTTTACAGTCCTGAGGGCCTATCAAACGCACATCTCAGGACAGGTCAGACTTCATTTTATCAGGTATTTTGTTGCTATTCTAAGTTATAAGGCAGTAATACAGACTTTCTTTTTCTTTCCACAGCTTTGTAAGCCTTGTGCCAAAATAAACTTTTTAAAAAGCTACAGGAAGATAAGTCTGACTCTGGCTTAGTATCTTTCTCGTTACAATATAGGCACAAAGAAGCAAGCGATGGAGCACAGGGGGAGAGATGCTAAGATACCAAGAATCTGTGGAAACATACGCTGGGGCACATCAGTGTGCGCCTTGAGTGTCCCTCCTCACTGTCAGAGCAAACCTGCCTCTGCCCTCCTAAGCTCCCATACCTAAAACAGCTTTAACAAAGTGGCTGGTATACCGGTCTCAAATATTGGATAAATACATGCTTTTTTGTACCCCAGAAGAACTTTTCCTCTCTCCTCATCAACACAGTAAAATAAGTCATGTCAAAAGAAAATAAGAACACCAAATTTGGGGGGAAGAAATTTTTATTTAACACTGTAAAGGAAAAAGAGAGAAAACAAGCAAAGATACGTAGGACGGAAAGGAAGACAGCCAGACCCAGTGACCGACGTGGTATGAAAACGAGGAAATGCAGCCAGACCTTGACGTTCAACAGCAACCACACAGCACTGCTGGAGGAAGAGCAAGATTTGTGCAGAGCAGAGCACCACAGACTACAACTGCCCAGCCTCAACTCAATGCCTCTTAACCTCTTTGGTCATTTCTCTCTGTAAATAAATGCCCATCACAGGATTTGCAGTCTTTTCTCCTAAATTCACAAACTCTCTTCTTTCTCTCTGGACAGATGACCTCTTGTCATAGTGAAGCAGACAGTAGGCAGGATATTCCTGATAGGAGGAACTACATGAATAAAGGGGTAAGAGCACAGAAATTTAGCTACAGCTCCATGGTGAGCCATTAAAAGGAAAGAGACACTTGACCTGTGGTGATCTTTGGCAAGGACCTGCCAAACGTGGGTGCTAAGGATTGTGGGAACGAAGAGAGAGATGGCTGAGGGAGATAAGACCCTTATTAGTGGTAATCTTGAACCTCAAACTAAGGATTTTAGACTTTGTATCCTATGGAGATAAAAGGTCTAGACATGGAGTCAAAGACCTGGATTCAAATTCTGGCTCTGTAATATAGCAGTTATTTGTCGTTGGGCAAATGAAGTTCTGAGATGCTATTTCTGCTTGCCTGTCTGTAAAAAGTGATACTGCCTACGCCACCTTGTTTCCACAGGATTGTTCTGAGAATCAAATGACAGTCTGTATTTGGAACCTGGAACCATTTGAATTCCGACTCCAGTCTCCAAAGCTTTCTCTTATGTCATATTCGTTGTAATCCTTCTCTACCTGTTTTGTTTCTAACTAAATAGTAAGTTCACATGGGTAGAGATGTCTTTTATTTTTACTATTCAAAGAATCTCCTAGAGCTACTCAACATTATATAATCACCAGAAGTCTCAGTAACAAGTTATATCCAACTATGTGAAAAGTTTCAGCCATTGTACTATACGTAATTATAGTCCATATATAACAATCTGTGACACACAATCACAGAAAGGATACGCTGCCCAAGTTTATCAAGACATTTAAGAGCATGAGACGAGTAGCTCTGACTCGAACCAAGGAAAATACATACAAAGCAAATATACTTTGTACATAGCAACTAAGTCTTGCTTCTAAAGAATTTATTTGCTCTGCTTATCTCAGGGCTTGGTTCAACAGAAATTTAGGATATTTGTTTCTTGGTTTTCAAAATGTATTGATACAATTGACTTCAAACAAGCCTACAGGTTTCCATGCATGAACAGGTAGTTTTCTGGGCACACATCTTAGCCCCGATCTATATGAGTGATTTTGAACCTCTGTGAGGCCATGAGGTTATTACAAGGAATTGATATGCCATAATCTTCAGCCTGAATAAACACCTTTCAAGTATTTGTATATACTATATTTCAACTGGATACAGATTCTAGTGTGACTCATAAAGATAAACTGAAATCACAGCAGCTTTTTGTTATGTAAGCTTTTACCAAAAATACTAGTAATATGGCTGTCATGTTGTTGGAAGGGAATAATTTTGGAGTTTTTTTGTTTTTGTTTTGAGACAGGGTCTCTCTGCTGCCCAGGCTGGAGTGCAGTGGCATGATCTCGGGTCACTGCAATCTCTGCTTCCTGGGTTCAAGTGATTCTTCCTCCTCAGCCTCCCGAGTAGCTGGGACTCCAAGTGCATGCTGCCACACCCGCCTAATTTTTGTATTTTTAGTAGAGATGGGCTTTCACTGTGTTGCCCAGGCTGGTCTTGAACTCCTGACCTCAAGTGATCTGCTGCCTCAGTCTCCCAAAGTGCTGAGATTACAGGCGTGAGCCACCACGCCCAGTCAAGAATCTAGTAATTTTTGGAAAAGGTAAAGAACCACAAGCCTACATCCTATGATTCACAGATCTAAGTGTCCTGACTAAAAGAAGGGAAAAGGGCAACATACAAACTACACTTCTGTGGACACCAAGTGTAGCTTGGCAGGAAAACATAAAGTCTGTATGTATAAAACCTTAAAGTTGAATGCCAATAATGCACCTGTCTGTGGCAGGTATGAGAGATTAAAACCTTACAATGTCGTTTGGATCAGACAACGGCTCTATTTTGATCCTGGAAAGCATCTCCAGTTGAAGACATTATATTCTCTGTGTTCTATTTCAAACCCCTGGAGCAGCGCAGCGGCTCCCAGTGACTACTGAGACACTGACATTGCTGCAGGCTGGGATGTCCCCCTTTAGGACAGCCATTTGTGATGTTTATCACGTCAAAGTTTCCCTCCATCTGACTGCGTCAGAACTTATGTGAGATTCATTTTGGAAATTCTCAGTAACAGAACTCTACGCTGGCAGTCCTTCCCAATCCCCAAAGCTCCAGTGCATTATTCTTGTAAACAGCACTTTTATCTCCTCGTCTCTCTACCACAGAGGCCAAAAAGCGTTTTCCCCTAACATCCGAATACCTATTCAGATACCAGCCCTGCTCCCTCTCTTAAAATCTGTCTTCTCACCCGGGCGTGGTGGCTCACGCCTGTAATCCCAGCACTCTGGGAGGCTGAGGCGGTGATCACTTGAGGTCAGGAGTTCCGAGGCCAGCCTGAGCAGCATGGCAAAATCTGTCTCTGCTGAAAATATAAAAGTTAGTTGGGTGTGGTGGCGCGTGCCTGTAGTCCCAGCTACTTGGGAGGCGGAGGCAAGAGAATCACTTGAACCCAGGAGGCAGAGATTGCAGTGACCCGAGATCATGCCACTGCACTCTGGCCTGGTGAAAGAGTGAAACTGTGTTTAAAAAAAAAAAATTCTGTCTTCCACACCTTAAGCCCCAAAGGCTGTTTTGTTGTTGTTGTCATTTAAAACAGACACAGACTATGCTTCCCTCCTGATTTATTAAGACCAATATATTTAATTTGTATTTTTTGAAGAAACAGCACCTGGAAACCAGGGAGAAAGAAGCTGAAGCATGTAGAAGGTCATGAATTATTCAATTTGGTGTCAATAATTTGTCAGAAAAATCTTTTTTCAATAGCAATAGGTAACTGTATTATATTCTATTTTATAATTATAATTAGAAGCAATGGATGTTGAATATCCTTTCCTCAAAGTCATTTAGTCTCAACCCTTGGAAATGATTAAGCCAACAGTGCCCACAGACCCTCTGCATGGAATTCAAAGGGCTGCTTAATAGGAAGTTAAAGACCTCAAGTTCAGACTAAGGGTTCCAAGATCAGAAATCTCAAGTTTTCTCTTCTCTTTGACAATCAGGTTATATACAATGAGAGAATCAGATTGTGAGGCTCCAGCCCTCTTCTGTATCCCTGCTCGCTTTACCTCAGTGCATACCATACCCCTTCTTCCTCCAGTGTGAAACGTGCATAGATGTGTGTGTGAATATAAATATCTATATTTACACATATATTCATATATATATATATAAATATGCAATACAAAGACATAAGCAAGAAATTTTTTTCCTAATAACTATTTAATCAAAGACTGCAGAAAACTCAAGTTCTTCCCCCCAAAATTTCCCTTCTAACTTAAGAGCCAATTCCTGGACCAATTCCTGCTCAAAGAAAACATTTAAGAAGCACCTGCCCAACTATTACGCAGCAAATGCTGACACACTTTACGATGAGCTAAAAGGAAGCTATTTAACAGCCATTTCTACATCCTCCAGACTTTTTCTCATAAATTAAAGCATTATTGTAGGGAAAGAGTCAAAGAGCTACAGCAACAGGGACAAAATGTCATTCTGGATTCGCCAAGTTTCTTAACTCTTCAGAGAACCGGCAACAGGAACTTTGAGGGAAAATGAATTTTTAATGCTGGGGTTATTTCTTCTCCTTGCTCCCAACTCATTAACTCTGAAACTCTAAAGATATTGGAGATAGCACCTAATTCTTGCTCTTCCCATCAGACTCTCTAGTTCTGTCCAACCACAACTAACCCACGTGAAGATGGGTCAGACTAACCTATCTGGCAACTACCAGAGAGGCAATAAACCAAGGCACTGCCCTATATGACCTCACAACTCCCAAGTCTACCAGTCTCTAAGAAATCTTTCTAATTATGTGCTCACCAAATAATTTTTTCCTCTTGTTTCAAACTGTAACAGACAAGAGGATACATATGCACTACTTGAATTATAATGGAAAAGATACAGATGAAAAGTCATTCAGAATAAGAAAATAATCTGTTCAGCACTGCATAAAATTCGAAGGCTGCTTAACATGAAGTTAAAGACCTCAAGTTCAGACTAAGTGTTCCAAGATCAGAACTGCGAGTTTTCTCTTCTCTCTGACAATCAGGGCAAGTTGAACCGTCTCTCCCTTGACTCCTATAAAGGCTCCAGATTCCTGAGTGTAAGCCTTCCAGCTGTAAAGAATGAACACCTGAAAAGTCCAGGCTATCTAGCCTCCTGCCTTGGGCATTATATCTAAACTGTGTCTGAAACATTTAAGGACAAGCCATTCCTAGAAGTAAATGCTTAACCACAACCATGTTCTGGTGTTAGACAAAATAATCTAAAATGCTTCTTCCCAGAATGGGAGGTCTCTCAGCCTTCCAGGCTAATTTAGGCTAAAAAGAAAAAACAGATTATATACACAGCAAATTACATCCCGTATACATTTCTTCCACTGCTTAACTATGTATTGAGGTCAGTAACTCGGTAACTAGTACTGAGGCCTCTAAGCCAAAGCAAGCATTTCTCATAGAGACACATTATTCACTTGGTGAAACTTAAGGGAGATCGGGCACACTCTGTATATATGCATCATTTCTGTTTTTCCTCTTGTGATGGTTAATCTTATGTGTCAACCTGACTAGGCCACAGGACGCCCAGATATTTGGTCATACAGTATGCTGGGTGTGCCAGTGAGGGTGGTTTGGGATGAGACTAACATTCCAATCAGCAGACTGAATAAAGCACACGGCCCTCCCTAATGTGAGTGGTCCTCATCCAATGAGTTGAAGGTCTGAACAGAACAAGTAAGGGAAAACTCCTCCTGCCTGACTGCTTGAGCTGAGACCTCAGTCTTTTCCTGCCTTTGAACTGGAGTGAAACTATCAGCTCCTTCTTGGGTCTCCACACTGGCTTTCAGACTGGAACTACACCAGCAGCTCTCCTGGATTTCTAGCTAGCCCACTGCAGATCTCGGGACTTCGCAAGCTCCGTAACTGTGTGAACCAATTCCTTAGGATAAATCTCAGGCTGGGCATGGTGGCTCCCACCTGTAATCCCAGCACTTCGGGAGGCCAAGGCAGGCAGATCACCTGAGGTCAGGAGTTTAAGACCAGCCTGGCCAACATGGCAAAACCCCATCCCTACTAAAAATATAAAACATTAGCTGGGCATTGTGGCAGATACCTGTAATCTCAGCTGCTTGGGAGGCCGAGGCAGAAGAATCACTGGAACCCAGGACGCAGATGTTGCAGTGAGCTGAGATCATGCCACTGCCCACCAGTGTAGGTGACAGAGTGAGAGACTCTGTCTCAATAATAATAATAATAATAATAATAAATCCCCAAAGAACCCTAACTCCTCAACGTAAATTAACCTGGACATCTGAGGTACCTCCCATTATGAGAAGAAACACAACAGATTTGTTAAGAGGGACAGGTCTGGGAAACAGCAAAATGAGTCTCACGTCCTCTATCCATCAGAGCAAAAACAGTGAAGAAAATTTCAGGTAACTTAGTCTGATGCTATGTGCTATACTGTGTATAAAAAGGCAGATCCCTATCCAGCACTTTGTCTCTACCACTTGTAAAGCTTTCAGATCTTTGTAAAGAACTCAGATCCTTTCTAGTTCTCTAGGCATTAGTTCTCTAGCAGAAAGTAAAACTATTGCCTGTCCTGGCATTTCCAGACGCTGACAGACAAACAAAAGCATCCAGGCTGTGATAATTTTTCTGAGACAACTGACATTGTGTTCTTGAAAACTCTAATGTGTTCCAACTTCAACACAGCCTTCCTCCATCTAAGTCACGGCCAAATATTCATAATTCACCTCATTTCCTTAAGTCTCCCTCCCCAGTTCAAAACCAATGTGTATTCTCAAGCTATATTTCAGGGGCTACCCACAGTAAGTAGATCTCATTCCCCAAATAAACAATCACTACAGAGGTGTAATATGGGAGGTATATGAGAAAACATCTTTTATTCCCTCTGAGCCCAGCTGAATCATACTTTCTGGTCACAACTTTTAGAAGCAGGCTATTATTGCAGCAGGCCACTCCCCAACTTTTTCTTTGCCCTCCCTGACTCCTTTATCCTCTACCAAAGTACAGGAAAAGGTATCTCTAGCCCCCTTCCATCACCCACAAATCAGCATATGATAGTCAACAGAAACTGGGAAAGACTTCTAGCCAAGAAAGAAACCCATTAGAGAGTGGTGCTCTTGTTCTGATCATAGTAAACTGTCAAAGGCTAATGTGACAACATTAATGGTGCCCCTCTATACCTTCTTCAGGCACACCAACAGCTGTTACATGTCTCCCCTTTTGAGATTTTTAAGTTTACACAACATTCCTTACCTTCTTCATTTATTCAATGTTAAACACTTAAATACTACAAAGAGCATGGGCATGGGGTGCTACTAGGCTGAAAATATAAGGCCTACCTCTCCCAGGCCAAGCTGATTTGGACATGATCACGTTGGTCAGTATAGCCAGAACCAAGCGGAAAAGATGAAAAATAGGCTTAAAGAGTTAAAATGTGACAACGTAAAATCTTAACTTCTGAAGACCAATGAGTTACTAAAAACAGTGAACTGGCTGCAGATGCTTACTGCATCTATTTCTGTGACACAAATTATTTTAAGATTACTAGGAAAAAAGACAGTAAACAATGAGTTGAGCACTTTGAGATGTTGAGGCAGGAGGATCGCTTGAGCCCAGGAGTTTGAGACCAGCCTGGGCAACATGGCAAAACCCTGTCTCTATAAAAACACAGAAATTACCCAGGCATAGTGGCACACGCCTATAGCCCCAGCTACTCGGGAGGCTGGGGTGGGAGGATCACTTGAGCCTGGGAGGTCGAGGCTGTGTTAAGCTGAGATCGTGCCACTGTACTCCAGCCTAGGCAACAGAAAGAAACAAACAAAATCAGTGAGTTGGGGATCATTTTTTACACTCTTCAAAGCAATGTATGCTGCCCAACTCTTTCCCAAAAAGGAAATGGAATCAGATTCCTACCAACATAAGGCTCCCAAAATACATTATGTAGCTTTCTGGGGAAACTGCATCAACAGAAGTAGTCTTTAAAAATGAAAATAAGAAAACTAAGCACATGATGGTAAAGCCCTTTTCCCTTCTCACCGTAATTCTTTGATTTGTGCTCCAGGAATCAAGACAAAACAAAATCATTAGTCTTAGATTCCTGAATTAATTTGGCCTCACCTCACAGCTAATGTGATCAAGAGTAGATTTTTTTAAATATAATTAAGACAAAAGGACTTATATCAGCAGGACTTTAGGGCTGTGGTTCCACTGTTTTTACAGTAAAATACCCTAATGGTGGGGTAGAGGGTGGAGAAGGAGGTGGAAACCTCTGTTACAAAGGCGACATGGCAGATAGCAGGACCCTAACCAGACTAAGGGATTGATTCCATTCAGGTGGGGGGGGAGTACTACATAATTCAGTTTCACACTTATAAAATTATCACTCTGAATTCACGAATAAGAGGCATTTGGTTGTAGATACAATTCCATCTGTAGATACTAACTTTAAATTTAGAGAAGAAAAACATTCATTGCATTAATATTATGCGTTGGGTTTCTTATGTGATTCCTATATCCATCTACTAATTTTTTGTTTTGATACAATTTACAGCTATGGTCAGATGATTACCATAGCCCTGATTCAGGTGTGGTCTTTAGCTTCAGAAAGTCCATCGGTCATGTAGCTGACTGTCATTGCTAAATCTGTTGCTTGCAGAGGCCTCAGAGCTCTGGCTTTGCTGAGTAGAGTCCTCACCATTTAAGCTCTTCCTACATACAGGACATGTGTCATGCTGAAACAGAAAAGTATTAGTCTATGTGAAGATCCTGGCCTGAGAAGCTGGGAGTACTGCACACTTAAGTAACCCTGAGAACTGTCACATCAAAACTCCTGACTTGAAATAGAAAAACAAGAGGGAATGCATCCTCATACCGCATGCTCTGGGGTCTAAGGTGTGATGCCAGGATATCTCCCAAACAGAACCTTGAGCAGAGCTGACAGGCACAATTCTAGTCCAGAAACTTAGTAAGAGCTAACACGTACCACCAAACAGAGCTAAACACAAACAGTGAGAGATCTATGACAAGAGGGTAACTGCCCATTACTTCCCATACAATCGAGAGCAGAGGTCAGCAAACTTTTTGTTTAAAGGGACAGGAAAATTGGCCAGGTGCACTGGCTCACACCTGTAATCCCAACACTTCTGGAGGCCGAGGCAGGCGGCTAGAGGTCAAGAGTTTGAGACCAGCCTGGCTAACATGGCAAAACCCCATCTCTACTAAAAATACAAAAATTGGCCGGGCATGGTGGTTTATGCCTGTAATCCCAGCTACTCTGGAGACTGAGACACAAGAATCACTGGAACCCAAAAGGTGGAGGTTTCAGTGAGCAGAGATCACACCACTGCACTCCAGCTGGGGTGACAGAGTGAGACTCCATCTCAAAAAAAAAAAAAAATTATTTACAGTAACAGGTGGGAGGCCACAGTGGCCTGTGGAACACAGTTTGTAACCCTTGGCCAGAAAAGTTCTAAACAAGTAACAGTTATCAGAGTGAGCTAGGGATTTACGGGATAAAATCTGATCTACTTGGATCTCGAGGAACTGTTAACTATACCTGTACTCTCAATCATCCCCCAAGAAGCCATGACTTGCTGTACTCACCAGTTCTAACCATGGTACAATACAACTGCTGTGAAAGAAGTGATTGCAAGGTAACTGCCGGACTTCCTCTTCAACTGTGTAATCTTCTTTGCATACTGGACACTCTAAACCCATATCTGTTGAAGAAGGAAATGCCTTTTACAGTAAACAAAGAAAAGGAAGAAAAACTAACCCAATGTCTCTACCAACCCTGCAAATGCATAAAGAAAAGGCATAAGAGGTGGGTGCAGAGGCTGACGCCTATAATCCCTGCTCTAAAAAAAATATAAAAATTAGCCAGGCATGGTGGCGTGTGCCTTTAGTCCCAGCTACTCTGGAGGCTGAGGCAGGAGAATCACTTGAACCTGAGAGGCAGAGGTTGTAGTGAGTCAAGATCAAGCCACTGCACTCCAGCCTGGGCAACAGAGCAAGACTCTGTCTCGAAGAAAAAAAGAAAAAGAAAAGGCACAAGAGACAAAAGAAAATGTATGTATACTCGAGTGGCAGGCAGGTAAGAGGCATGAATTATATTTCAAAATGAGGGTAACGATGGTAGTAAACAGAGACATGAAAAGGAGAAATGATGAATGGGGCCTACTCCAAAAAGGCCTAAAGAGGAACTACATAAGGCCCATTTCTTGATGTAAAGAGTTGGAAGAAATAAACTGGGGCTTAGATGATCTGTTGAGTAAAACAGAAAAAACATCTTCCCAAAGATGTGATAGCCCTCTGGCAGTCAGTTTCCATTGTCAACCTGTCCACCACAGCCAAGAAATTCATCTCGGCAATCTTAGCAGTTCAGTGTCTTAAGCCACTTGCCACTTTTACCATGCTCTTTGCAGCATGGAATGAAGGATCCTACTTCAGTGTGGCTACCCTGAAGTTCTCTGTAAAAATTGTTAATGAGGGCCGGGCATAGTGGCTCACATCTGTAATCCCAGCACTACTTTGGGAGGCCAAGGCAGATGGATCACCTGAGGTTGGGAGTTCAAGACCAACCTGGCCAAGATGGTGAAATCCCGTCTCTACTAAAAATACAAAACTTAGCTGGGCATGGTGGCGGACACGTGTAATCCCAGATACTCGGGAGGCTGAGGCAGAGAATTGCTTGAATCCAGGAGGCGGAGGTTGCAGTGAGTTGAGATTGCACCGCTGCACTTCAGCCTGGGCAACAGAGCAAGACTCCATCCCCCCAGAAAAGAAAAAAAGAGTTAATGAAAAGCTATATCATAAGTGGTGCTGCAGAACTGCAAATCGAAAGTTTAGCTCAGGTCACCAAATCAAGAGCAGAAAGCCGTCTTCTCTGAGAAGAAACAGTCACGAACTATCCTGGGAGTTCCAAGCAGCAAGTTTTGAGTTTACCAAATATGTCTAATACTACCAGCTAGTCTATATGCCTAGCGGCTGGGATATGCTCCATGCCCCAACAGCAGATAAGGCATTTGGAGCAGTCTGCTACTTAACAGATTTACTCTTTACTCTCCATTCCCACCAACTTTGGCCTAATTCTTTTACTTCTCATGCCCGGTGTGCTGCAATGGCCTCCTGGCTAGTATCCCAAATTCTGTTATCTCAACCCTCCAAACATATCCTATACTTTGCTACAACTTAATTTTCCCTAAAATCAGCTTCATAGCAATTCCCAGCTCCTCTTCACTTGGATTCTCAGCTGGAAACTCAAAAACCAATAAATTAAACATGTAAAACATCACTTCATCTCCTTACCCAAACCAGTGCCATTCACTATTTCCCCATCCCTGAAGATGGCAGCACCGTGTTTATAGTTACAAAGCTGGGAAATCTTAGAATTATTTCTGACTCTTTCCCCTCCTTCATCCCATTATGCAATCAGTGAGGAAAGCCTTTCTCCAAAATGATCTGGCCGGTGTGGTGGCTCACGCCTGTAATCCCAGCACTTTAGGAGGCCAAGACAGGTAGATCACAAGATCAGGAGTTTGAGATCAGCCTGGCCAATATGGTGAAACCCTGTCTCTTTAAAAATAAAGAAATAAAAATTAAAAAAACAAAAACAAAATGATCTTAATCTATGCTTTCCTTTCTCTTAGCATTGTCACCATCACCTGAACCCCACCTGGACGGCTGCGACAGACTCTAATACCTGTTCCTGCTCTCTCTCGCTTCCAATATATGTCACACACTGCCCCAAACTAATCTTCCCTAAAGACCACTTTACCGAACTCACACACCAGGTATATGTTGATATTCTTATGTTAGTTCATACTTTCCTTAAATAGAATGACCTAAGATGGCCCACCCTGTCTTTGAAATCTCTCATTCTAAACCTAAATTGATGGTTTAGCTCCAAAATGCTGTCCCTCATCACTAAATTCCTTCAGTGCTTATAAATAAAAGAATATCTATGACTAACATACCTAACTGTACCTGACACAAAGGAGATTTAAAACAAACTCCCAGCCTCCTACTGTTTTCTCTTCTCCTTTCCCCAATGTCAGTATCATGTGTCCAATACAGTTTTTAATCATTTGGTAAGTTTTTCTTCAACTTATTAGAATCAAGTCTCATCTATCTTTATACCTCCTTTATTCCCACGGCACCTAAAAAAGAGACATGGTCATTGCTCAGGAAATACCTACCGACTAACCTAAGGGGTAGGAACTCTCCAGATCTGGCACTCAGGTAGCAATTAGGGCTATGGCTTCACAAAAAGGTCCTCAATATAGGAAGATATCACAGATTTTTTTTTTCTTTTTCTTTTTGTTCATTTTTTAAACTTTTCACCTGTCAGAAAATCCTGGGATTTTGAACAGAGATCAGAAGCTGACAGAGTAAGTATAAAAATGAACCTACCAACTTGTTCCTGAGTTACTGTCACTGTTGGAAGAGACGTGATCTTTTCCTTGTCAGCTGGGGGAGGACCTGTGTTTTCCAGTTGTCCTAAAAGCTACAAAAAAAAAAAAAAAAAAAGAAAGAGAGAGAGAGAGAAAGAAAAAGACGAAGTGGCAGACATCTCAGTATCCCTGGAGAGGGAGCTGCTCCAGCTGAGAACAAACAGTGCAGATATCAGGTATGTTAGTTACTCTTACTTCTGCAAGGCTCTGAGAGGCTTGGGTTCCCCCTTTCCTGCTGCCAGAACACTCATAATTGCTTTACAATTTCAGAGTGACATTGGTATAAGCCTACAGACAAACCCTTGATTGCAAGGCCCACCTTTGGGCATAAAGCAACGTCAGAGGCAGCAAAAGGGTTGTGATGTCATGAATGAAACTACAGCTTAATAAAAAGTAATATGTAACTGGTCCAAAACTTCACTCTGCTCGAAGAACAAAAAGTAGGAGTATGAAGAGTAGCATAACGTAAGCCAAGAAATAGGTAAATTACTGCCTATAAGATGACTGAATTTAAAGGACATGCTTTCTATTCTCAGAAATCCGCAAGGGAAATGAAAAACCAATCAAATTAAAATGAACATAAACAAATGGAAGCAATTATACACGGCATGGGAATATCCTTTTCTCTGCTTCCTTCCCCTACTTTGTTCCATCTAGCAGAAATCCCAGCTTCAACATGTGAGGAAACCCTCCTTTTTTGTGAAATACTTGTTAATAGAATCCTTATAGGACTGAACAAGAGAGACCAAAAATACAAAATACTATTTGTTATAGAAGTCTTTTCTTCCTGCGGAGGTGAAATCATCTTCCAGAAATTCTCTCGGATCTAGAAAGTGCATGGATGCCGAGCTAACCCCATAAATCATTCATCCCTTTAGTAAAATGGAAACCCCAAAGCTCAAAATATTAGAGAAAGCAAAGTGACTCCCATTTCAGAAAGTAGCAGAAGGAAAGCAGGAAGTCTGTGGAACCATGAGACACACTGAACAGACACCCTCAAAAGGCAGCTCCTCACCTGGGTTACAATGGCATCAAGCCCTGTCTGACCCCAGGCATAGTCCCCAGGGTTGGAGTGCAGCATCCCGCTCCTATACATGAGATGAGACAGACAGCATTAGATGGAGTGACCAGGCTCTGCCTTACACCACAGAAAAAACATTGGCAGAGGGATCCCGTTCTCTCTCAGAGCTGGAAAGTCACTAGTCCTCCAGGATCAAGAGGCAAAGAATTCTGTGTATTTTCAAGATCAAACAGATTATCTAGAGATAGTTATCTCATTCTGTAGGAATTTTACTTAACTAGAACATAAAATGTGAAGCTACCTAAAGTACCACATGACATGCCAGAACAAAAAGAGTGACTCATTGCCTGTTGGTTTCAAAAATGTGTCTTTTCTGTGCCCACTTTATATTAAACACAGATGGAGCTGCTTTTTAAGGAGAGTTTTCCTTCATAACTGGTCAAAATCTACACCAAACATCCCTCATTATAAGAAGCCACCCACAGTTCTGGACAATGGGGAGCTTTCAAGTAGAGAAGCAGCCATAGCAGTCTCTTTGAATCACAACTCAGAGCAATTACAAAAGGGACTTGGCAACACCTTCTCTCCCCACCTCCCCAGCTGCTGGTATACTATCAGCAGAGGTCCAGACTACTAGATGACAGAGGTCCTAGAAGGACTGAGGTTCCTTTGAACAAAGAAGCCTTCTGGGCCACTGTTAGAAGTGGCAAATAATTTTCCAGACAAGAAGAAATTCCATCTTTAATGCCTATCATACATAAGCGTCACTCTGATTCTGAATTAGAGCCTATTGTTTCTTCTGACAAATCTTCTCACTTTGAAAAAACAAAGTTCAGCATAATATTTTCAATTTCAGAAATTCTTAAGGAATAAAATATTCCTGTACAGGGGAAACCCACAAATCAGATACCAAGCCTGGCAGGGACCAACTCATTCCCTACCTCAACAGAACTCTCAGACCTGCATATAAAAGGAATCAAGACAATTCTAGCACCCAAACATCCTGGGGGACCAGGACAGCTCTCTTCCTGAGCCTGAGCAATAAAAAAAAAAAGTTCTAATTAAGTTTGGGCTCAGCAGATAATGGCAGTCTAGCAGCCTCCAGTTACATCCACATACTCACCTATGCAGCTCTTTTTCTCTACTGCACAGAAATGACAGCACCTAATAAAATGATGCCACTCCAACAGAGTAAGATAGACAGCAGTTAGTTACTTACCAGGAGAAAGGGTGTGGAGATCCAGGAATGGCAGAATTTGCAAAGAATCCTGCAAAGATGTGTTGTAGTATTCTGTTAGAGAAGAAAAAATTAGATAAGACAGCAGACTAATGAAAGTACTTTACAGACCCATGGCTGCCTGATCACCAGCTACGTCCCTAAACCAAAACCAAAATGGCTTCTCCTTGGCTGTTACACAAGAGACAGCATCAGAAATCAGCCTGCCACGCAGCAGTGTGCTATTTTGTTATTATGGCTATCTTCCTGAGCTCTGCTATCATTTTTTTTTTTTTTTTTTTTTTTAAATAATAGGGATGGGGTTTCTCCATGTTGGCCAGGCTGGTCTCAAACCCCTGACCTCAGGTGATCCACCCACGTCAGCCTCCCAAAGTGCTGGGATTACAGGTGTGAGCCACCATGCCCGGCTGCTCTGCTATCTTATAGATTAATAGATTTTTGTGAATTATGCTAGAAGGGGATCTGATGGTATAGTCTAGTTTTCAAACTATGTTCCTTGTATATCCGACACCAATATGAGGAAGGGTTAAAGGGGATGCTGAGCCCGTGGAATTCTGGACCCACCTCCCTTTAACAAGGGTAGTTCCATTTTTGTATGTTGTACACATTGGGTTTCTGAATATCATTTAAAGTGTCCTTTTTTTAAAAAAAAAGTTTAATCACTAATTCCATTTTAAGGTTGTTTCCAATGACTATGACACAAACACATATAAGTACATCCATGCTTGGCATGTGTCACTCTGAATATTCCAGATGGCACAGGAACACAGCTCTTTATACAAATGAGTCTTTGTTACCCAAAGAGATATGGAAGTGACACCTCGGCAAAAGAAAAACCTGAAGAAATTGTTCCCTTAGATCTTCTGTGTTCTGGATGATCTGATTTTTTTTTTTTTTTTGGAGACGAAGTCTCACTCTACCACCCAGGCTGAAGTGCACTGGCTCAATCTCGGCCCACTGCAACTACCACCTCCTGGGTCCACATGATCCTCGTCTCAGTCTCCTGAGTAGCTGGCATTACAGGTGCCCACCACACCCAGCTAATTTTTTGTATATTTAATACAGACGGGGTTTCACCATGTTGGCAAAGCTGGTCTCAAACTTCTGACCTCAGGTGATCCTCCCACCTCAGCCTCCCAAAGTGCTGGGATTACAGGCATTGAGCCTCTGCACTCGGCAATTACATGCAATTTTAAGTCCCTGGTTCCCACTTTACTTATTAGGCCAACTAACATAACAAGGGTAGTAGCCAACATTACACTTTCCCTGTTATTAAAGTTCAACAGCAGCTAACTACACTGTTCCATTTGTTTGTTTACTTGCCTTTTTTAAAATTTTTCGTTATTTTTAACTGACAAAAATTGTCTCTATTATGGTATAGAACGTATTTTGAAGCATGTGCGCACTGTGGAATGACATATGCATTACCTCACAAACTTATTTGCAACAGTAACACTAAAGATCTACTCTCTTAGCAGTTTTCAAATGTACAAAACACGGGTGGTTGTTCTGTTCTGTTCTGTTCTGTTCTGTTCTGTGATGGAGTCTTGCTCTGTCACCCTGGCTGGAGTGCAGTGGTACGATCTCAGCTCACTGCAACCTCTGTCCCCAGGTTCAAGCAATTCTTGAGCTTTAGCCTCCCGAGTAGCTGGGATTATGGGCACACACCACCACACCCACCTACTTTTGATATTTTTAGTACAGATAGGGTTTCACCATGTTGGCTGGGCTGTCAAGTAATCCGCCTGCCTTGGCCTCCCAAAGTGCTGGGATTACAGGCATACGCCACCACACGTGGCTGAAAACACTACAGACTTATTAACTACAGTCACCATGCTGTGCAACAGATGTCTTGAACTTTTAACTGAAATTTTGTGTCCTTCAACCACTATCACCTTAATTCACCCCCTCTGCCCTACAGCCCCTGGTAACTACCATTCTACTCTCAGCGTCTATAAATTCAATTTGTTTTTCAGAATGCTTAGTGTTATTTTTAAAATATGTCCAAAAATTATTTGATAATCTTCCCTTGAGTATGGGCTGGACTTAGTGACTCATTTTACAACAGAATATGGCAGAATTGATAATCTGTGACTTCCAAGACAAGGTCAAAAAAAGGGGGGAAATGGCCAGGTGTGATGGTTAATGCCTGTAATCTCAGTACTTTGGGAGTCTGAGGTGGGCAGATCACTTGAGGTCAAAAGTTCAAGACCAGGCTGGCCAACATGGCGAAACCCTTTCTCTACTAAAAGTACAAAAATTAGCCAGGCATGGTGGCAGGTGCCTGCAGTCTCAGCTACTCAGGAGGATGAGGCAGGAGAATCACTTGAACCCAGGAGGCAGAGGTTGCAGTAAGCCAAGATTGTGCCATTACACTCCAGCCTTTTTTTTTTTTCCTCTCTCAAAAAAAGGTGGGGGTGGTGAGAAGGTGTTTTCTCCTGGTGCTTCTGTTGGATCAATCACTTGCTCTGGGAGAGTGCCGTATCAAGCAGTCCCACAGAAAGGTCCACGTGATGAGGAACTGAGTCCTCCTTCCAACAGCCAGAGCAAAACTGCCAGAATATGTGTACAGCCTAGTCAGTTCTGTAGATGACTACCGCAGTGGCCAACATCTGACTGCAAGCTCATGAAATCCTGGGCCAGAACCACCCAGCTACGCTGCTCCAGATGAACCTGTTCCTGACCAAGTGAAGCTGTCAGATATTAAATATTTGTTGTTTTAAGCCACTAAGCTCTGAGGTCATTTGTTATACGGCAATAGATAACATACAGATTTTGGTATCTGGATACGGGTGCAGCTAGCTATAACAAAGACCTAAAACATGAGAATACTGAACCCAGCAGTTGGGCAGAAGTTAGGACTTTGAGGAGCGGATCAGTGAAGTTTGAAGAGCCTTGAAAAAGCAGTAGAAACACTAATGGCCTTTGAGGAAGTTAGGGTGAGAGATTAGGAAAACGCAGAAAAAGTCTTATTAGAAACTGGAGGGAAAGGGATCCTTGTTCCACACTGGCAGAGTTGTTGCCTTACCATAACATGGAGGTAGATGTGGTCCACAGACTGGTTGATAATCTAACTAAAGAGATACCCACTTTTGAAAGTACCTCTTGGTTTCTTGTTGCTTACTTTAAAATGCAAAAGAGGGATGAATTAAAGGAAGGACAGACAAATTATATAATTCTGAGAATTCCCAGCATCTCCAGATAGTAAATAACACTAAAATTAAGGAACAGATTTCAAACAAAGATTGAATCCAGGGAACCGCCAAAAGACTGATTTCAGATGAAGCCAAGGATTAGGCTAAAACAATTCTTTGTTAAGACCTCAGAAAGAGCCTGGTGTGGAGGCTCATGCCTATGACGCTAGCACTTTGGGAGGCCAATGTGGTAGGATCACTTGAGGCCATGAGTTTGAAACCAGCCTGGCCAACATGAAGAAACCCTTTTCTACTAAAAATCCAAAAATTAGCTGGGCATCCCAGCTACTCAGGAGGCTGAAACATGAGAATCACCTGAACCTGGGAGGCAGAGGTTGCAATGAGCCAAGATCACACCACTGCACTCCAGCCTGGGTGACAGAGTGAGGCTCTGTCTCCAAAACAACCACTACCACCTCAGAAAGACTGAAAATGGTACCTAAAAAATCATTCAGTTAGAAAGCTGGACTAAGTTTAAGAGTGTTGTGTTAGTTTCCTAGGGCTGCTATAACAAACTACCACAACCTGGGTAGCTTAAAACAAAAGGAATTTATTTGCTGTTCTGGAGGGTGTCAGTAGGGTTAGTTCCTTCTGGAAGTTCTGAGGGAGATCAGTTCCATGACTCTCTCCTGGCTTCTGGTGGTGGTTGCCAGCAATCTTTGCCATTCCTTGGTTTGTAGACGTATGTCCCCCCAGCCTCTGTCATCACATGGCTTTCTTCCCTGTGTCTTCTGTGTTCATGTCCAAATTTCTATCTTTTTTTTTTTTTTTTTTTTTTTTTGAGGCAGAGTCTCCCTCTCACCCGGGCCAGAGTGCAGTAGGGTGATCTCAGCTCACTGCAACCTCTTCCTCCAGGTTTAAGCGATTCTCATCCTCAGCCTCCTGAGTAGCTGGGATTACAGGCATGCACCACCATGCCTGGCTAATTTTTTTTTATTTTTAGTAGACATGGGGTTTTACCGTGTTGGCCAGGCTGGTCTCAAACTCCTGACTTCAGGTGATCCACCTATCTTGGCCTCCCAAAGTGCTGGGATTACAGGAGTAAACCGCTGCACTGAGCCAAATTTCTCTCTTCTTATAAGACTATCAACGATTGAATTAGGGCCCTTCCTGATCCAGTATCATCTATTATAACTTGGCTATATCAGTAAAGACTCTATTTCCAAACAAGGTAATATTCACAGTGACCTTATCAGGGTTAGCATGTGAGCAAAGCTTTCTGGGGGACACGACTGTACCCACTACAAGTGGAATCCCTCAGCAATCCCAGTAGAAGCCCAAGGTGGAAAAAGCCTATTTAGAAGAGATTTGTGGGTGTGGCTTTTGCCTAATGGCATGCATCCCAGTAAGATTCACAGGATACTCAAAGTTTTAAAAAGAAACACTGCCAGCCTAAACTAAAAGGTACAAAAATAGTACAAAATGAAAACAGGTCTTTGGGCCCTCAAATTTCTACCAGCAAGCAGCAGGCTAAGAAAACTATGCAGCTACAAATTTACTTTCAATGGAAAAGAAAGGATGACTAAAAGGGTGGACTCCCGAGTCACAGAAAACTCCTGGGTAGAAGTGGAAGTTAAGTCCTAGTCAAGGAACTTCTGACATCTGTCGAGACAACTATCAGAATTGCTATGAACCAGCGACTTCCTTATGCCTCCATTTTCCCTTTTGGAACAGGAAATCTCTATACCTGTTCAAAATCACTGCCTGTCCACATCACTGTATGTTGGGTATGTGATGGGTAGATAACTTGTCCTCTCTAGTTCACAGGTCCTCATATCAAAAGGAATTGTACCCGAGGAACTATACCCAAGGAGCCATGCCCACACTTGGACCTAATTAAAGGACAACTTCTATTTATAA